CGCGTCAGACCAGGATTATAGCCCGGCTTACGAGAAGTGAACGTTCAACACTAACTTGGCTACAACGTAATTATAATAAACAATAATTTCTTTGAAGAAATATAGCAGTGATGATTGTAATAATGTAGCTCTACATGTTGTTTTGGGCATTTTATCAACATGATTAGATAAAATAGGTAAAGTCACGTTTCCACTATACAACTCGTACAATCGACCTATGGAAGTTTAGTAACCTATTTTTAGCGTCCGAATATTCTTTGAGACATAAAAAATTTGATATTATATAAACGTATCCATAATCTGTTTTTTTTTTGCTCAACACCTTTTTGATCGTTCGGTGTATTTTTGTAAGGGTTTTTTGTTAAAATATGCAAACAAATTCAGAACATTCATTAACGTCAGAATATGCATAAATATGCAGTATAAAATGTTGATATTTAATCAATCAACTAATGATTTGTGGACACTCACTGACTGCATGGATATGATTGAAAATAGCAATATGCATTATACGAAAAATCCGATCTTTGGTGATAACATTAAACGAAATTTTAGGCATATATGTTGATTTTAGAATAATCCAATTTTTTTTAAAATCTAAGTACATATGTACGTAATAAACTGCTATGGCCTGTACCTACAGTTTTTGATAAAAATACAATTATTGAAAGATGAACTGTGTTATATATTATGCTAAACATTATAATAAACAGTGAGTAAGTGAGCACTGCTATTTAAAACTACTAAAGGATTCCGGATTCCTGGATGATAGTATTATAAATTATAAAAATATAAACTATGTGTTTTATAATAATTGAATATTTTCATTTTTAAGGCATATATTATATCACATTACAAATTCAAAATTCATTTATTAATAATCTTAAAATTATTAAATAGGTATTGTGAAACTAAAGATATAATTATTTACATACCTATTAATTAAAACTTTTAAATTTTAGATTCTGAGCGGAGCGATGAATGTATGGATTTTGCAATGATGTGTGTTTTTTCATTTATTTATTTATTTTTTATTTTTTTGTCTGTCATCATGGTTTGGGACAGCAAAAATGCTTCGATTTTCTTCAACAGAAACTTTTCTGGTAAGAAAGTGAATCTTGTTGATGCATTCACGTGGTCAAAATTTGAAATTCCCAATAGTTTTCAAAATCAACAGGAAAAACAAACAAGAAATTAAGAAAAACAGGAATTTTTACCCAAAACCAGTTTCGAAAAAATCGATTTTGGTTTATAGTGTAACTCTAAAAAAAATTACAGTAAATACATGCAATTTTCACTAAATATTTGTGTTAGCATTTTATATACACCATAAAATTTTCAAAATATTTTGAATCGTGTTGATGGACATAGGCATATGAAATTTCGATTATTATTTGTTTTTTTTTAAACTTATGTCGATAAGAAATTGTTCGAGCGTTTACAGTCGATTAATTACAATTTTGACAAACTTCGCAATAATCAAGAAAATTATAAAACTATTTTAAGTTAGAAACACATAAAAATGTTTCTTTTTATATCTAAGATTTAAAAATGTAAACCTAAGGTAAATAGTAAGTCTACCTTTATCAAAAAAAAAATTTTCAAGTGGAAAGTCAAATTAAACTTTTATGAGCACTTGAAGTTGAATATTTTAACAATGGATATTCACTCATGTATTCTCATGTAGCAATTTTCTTATTTTGTAGTAATTCTAAAACGAATATCTGTGGACACATGAAATTCGCATCATATGATTATTCCATCAATTCATATACTTGATACAATTTTAAAAATATTTCGATACGTCTTAAGGGGTTGACGGGCATTTTCAATTTTTTTTTCATTTTTTTCTATCAATGTCAATAACATGTTACTGGTTGGGTCAAAAAGAATGAAAATTCAGTACAATACTTTTGATGTATTGTTACAATAGCAGTTTAAAAATACAAAAATACATGGCCATGATTTTTTTTATAAGCATTTACAGTTAAAATTTTGGCAACATTTATCAAATTGAAAATTGAAAAATTATTTTGTAGTTAAAAATGTATTAAATGTATAATTTATATAGATAAGGATTGAAAATTTAAAACAATGTTCCACAAGTTTTTTCCGTAACTAAAAAATTTAAAAATTATATAAATACAGTTATTTTTTGTAGGCATAAAAATTATATTAAAATTATATTTGAAAATGACAGTATGCGTATAAAATATAATAATATACTCTCAAACTTTAAGGTACCCACAAATAATATTTTTAAATTACAACAAAATAACTGAATTCGTTATTCTTGATTTCAATAGATTTACATTGGCCGTTTCGAAGTCATTATTATCATACATATGTTAATTATTATATAATATATTTTATAATTAATGTCATGGAAAGTAAGATTTTTTTACTGTGAGAAACTTCAGTCAGGTCATTTACGCATGCGTCATATTATTACTAAATTAATTATGGAAAAACATTTTCCTTGTGCGTTTATTTATGTGATTATGTGATGCAACAATGGCTTTCTTTCTGTGCCACCTAGTGGTTTAATAGATCTTCACAAGGAGAAGCGTAAGTATACATAATATAATATGATAGTCATTATTTTTATTTTTATTACTGTTATTATTTTCATAATCTTCATCATAATTCCACAGTGATTGTCGGTATGTTATTTTTGAATTTAAGCCTGAAAACTGGCTCCGGATTTCCCCCATGGCCCCAGGCCAACGTGTTTATTATTCTGGCTATACATGCGTTCGCCGCTGCACGTGCACTATAAATTACATAATACACAGCCGGCACCATTAAACCGATTCGTAAATTCTTGAACTCCGACAATAATTTCTAAATCGTCGTCTCATTGTTGATCACCCTTCGACACAAAATACCTAAAACAAAACTGGTCGCCGCCGAGCACGAACTGAAGGACGAATTCCAAACACCGTAGATTTAGACAACTCACGTACACACATTTGAACAATATTATAGAAACATGAAAAACGGGGAGGTCTGTGTTTGAGGTTATGTATAAAAACCTCAACTGCGCTTAATAAAATTTGATAACGTTGAAATATTTGTTTGCAAGTTACATTACAGATCAATACATTTAGAAAATCGTAGTAAAACATAAATTTCTCGTCTAAAATATGAATGAGTTATTTAATTTATACAGATGTACAAGTACAATCATCTGAGTCCATAATACTAATTAAAAAGAAAATTAAATTGTTAAATTATATAAATAATACCATTGGCAACCAGTAAACTGTTAGGGTATGTTGTAATATGATTACGATACCTATGTAATGATATATTTTAATAATAATGTGATCAATCTTGATTTTTCTTTTCTATATTTTACCCATATGGGAGCCTCCTCATTGCTACTACCGACAATTTTAGTTCAAAATACCTGAAGTTATGACATAAATAAAGACTGATTTATTTGAATTGATTTTAATTCTGAAAAAAATTTTAAATTCAGAAGACAAATATTTATAGACCGATGGAACACTTTGAAAATATATAATTTTGAACTATGATTAAAAATTTTAAAATATGGATTTTATTAAATTATAATCGTAATTAAAACACAAAATTAAAAATCCTTAGACAGTTTTCTGCTAATTTTTAAATCTTTTTTCCAGAATTAAAATCAAAAATAATTTTTCAAAATAATAAGTTTGTTGCCGTAAAAATCATATAGGGAAGTTTATTCGTATCGTATCGAGTTATTGACATGTGCATTGTGAATGTGCTTAAGAGAGAGGCATTCGTCGGTACTCATACTATAATAATTATAATAATAATTTGCAACTAAGAATTAACACATAGATTCTGGGTGGTGATGTCGAGATTAGAAATTGCCTAATTGTTGTCCCAAAGCCATAGTGAAGTCCTATAAATACAAATTTCCACAGCCACGGTCATGATTGAAATATACAGGTTATTGCATATCGACTCCAATTGTTATCATCTGAAACAAAATGGCTGCGTAAAGGGATATCATAAATTACAAATATCAATTTTTCTTATCATGAAAAATACGCTCGCATAAAAATTCGAACCTGTCACTAATTAGTAATTGTACAGTTGTAGCTTAAATTTATTATCATTCAATATTCATTACAGACATACTTAAAAGTTAAAACTAAATTATTGTTATTTGATATTTGATATTTTTATTGTTATTCTTATTGTATATGTTTATTAATGAGGTTGATTTAAAGTTGTTTGGATACTTTTAGGTATTATATTTATTACATTTGATAGTTTTTTTTTATTTGTTCTATCCTGAACATATTTTTGCTTAAAATGTTGATTGATATCTCTTATAAAATTCATAATAATATTCTATTTTTATTATAAATATAACAGTCACAAGATTCTTAGAAATAAGGTATTTTTCGATTTACGATATTCAAAAATAGACACATTACCAGCTAGTATAAAATAGACAAGTAATAATAAATATAAAATTTATATTAATTGTATAATTATAATAAGCCTATTGAACGTTGGTAGGGAAGACATTCTACGAATATGTGTGTTGTACAGTCGTACAGAGAGAATACACGCACAGACATATTCACGCAAGGGTTCATGTTCATTACACATTATTTATAATATAATGAACGATTTTAATATTACAGAACAGTGAAAAGCGTTGTTGAAAATTGAAATATACTGTATAATTTAAGTTTCAACGATGCTGAACAGTAAACAATACAATTTCCTTCAAAACATACTTTACGTATTAAATATTAATTTTTACTAATTTAAAATTCCCGCGCTTATATACTTGATTATTATTGGCTTCCTTTACGCTGACATTTTTGTTTTTATCATCGAATATTTGATTGAGAAGGGGTATACATGCAATAACCTTGTATATTTCAATCATGGCCACGGCTATAAAAATTAATATTAACGCATCGATGGTGAGGGGGAGGGGAGGCTATATAGGTTTGAAGCCGTTGTGCAATGCACACCTTGCACGCTGTGTAGTTGCGGTACTGCTGGAGGGTCGAAGGGAGTGCACCCAATAGGATTGCCATTCATCCAACGGGGCGGTAGTGAGAACCACTTCCAAGACCACCGACGTTAGTTAGTAGACGACAACGGATGGACTGCATCGAGCGCCACCGCTTACTCCAGTCAGAAGACAAGAAGATTTACAACCGGTTAGCTGTCTTTACATCATGTCATAGTTAGATAAGTCTTTTGGCATTTAACAACATAATTGATCCAAATTCAATTGCACGATAGCAGTCAAAGGAAGAATTTGTTTATTAAACAAAACAATAAAAGTTGCCGGTGAGTACCATACATTTATTTACAAATAAAAGGGTAGGATTTTACTTATAAATTATAACAATACTCGTCGTCAGTTGTCGCTCATTGGGTGAAACAACTGCACACATAACAATTTTTTATTTTTAGATTTTAAGCTGAGCGATAAATGTATCTATTAAGTGTACACTGAGCTGTTATTGTATTTGAGCTACTATTAAATAATCTTACAAAATTAATAAAAGATTTTGGTCCCTTATAATTGGATTGAAAAGCAGCTAAAAAATATCGAAAATATTTGGTCATAATATTTTTTTATGAGCATTTAAAGTCAGTATTTTGACGAAATTTGTCGAACTATTTTGTAGAAAAAATTTTCTGACTTAGATATTTTTTTTGGTAATGAATAGAAACAAAAACGCAACAATTTGAAAATTATTCTGTACTTAAAAATTAACAAGCAAATTTCCACCCGTTAGTTAATCGTTGAGTTTTAAGGTTTGGAGTATTTTTGTTTAAGACACGTGTACACTGTGGCTTATGAAATACGTGTACTACTGTATACTAACTTCTAAGTAAAATATCAAGCAAGCTGCTCTTTAGCAAACAATCTATGGTTAGGCTTTTTATGATACTCATGAACATCGAGATTTTTTTTCTTTGTACACACTTTTAATTACAAAGTTTCGGCCTTTAGTGCATAGGTACTTAAGTATATTAACCCAACGTCACATTTTTAGCGTGAGGTGCAAACAAAGTGCTTAACTTACCTGATGTACAAAAAAGTTACTTATATAAAGTTACAATTGAGAAAATATATTGACATAAAGTTAACTTATTCTACCAAAATAGGAATTTCAAATAAAATATACAAAACAATAATTCAAAATAAAGAAATATACTTATTTAATAAAAAAAGAAACTTAAGTAATTTATAATATTAATAAAACTAGTGATATAAAATAAGTTCACAAAAAAAACGGTTGTCTCTGTAAAAAACTACATAGCCTACCTGCTCTTAACAACCAGAGTTCGGATAGATGTTCACTAAAAAAAAATGAATTAGTTCACGTTCACGTTCGTCAAAAATATGAATGCGTTCATTAGATCGTTAATTTAATTTTTTTAAATTTTTTATAACAGAATGATAATTAGAAAATATTATTTTATAATATAATTAATCGAAAAAATATTTGTTAAATGGCAAATAAATTGAGCGTGTTAAAAATTGTTCAATTTCATTAAAATATAAAATTCGTTCACGTTCACGTTCAATTTGAAAAAAACGAGGGACATTCGCGTATCGTTTACTAAATAACGTGTGGACGTAGGTTCATGAACGAAGTTTTTTCCAAACACTGCTAATAACCGTGTTATAACAACAACCATAACAATTGATGAGAAAACGTATAGTTTATGTTCTGCATTTAGCTACCTCAGGAAATCATTACACTACAGTAATCACACAAGTTCGATATAAAAATAACATAATAAAGAAAGATGGCTTGTTGTGACTAATAGTTTTGTGTTAAAATTCTCTAAAAGCGAAATTAATAAAGTAACCTTACTTCGTGTTATATAAAGTAAATAATACCTTGCTGAGTAAATACATTAATAAAATAAAATAAGATCATTTATCTTACTTTAAATCAATTTAGTTATAGAATTTTTTCATGATATTTTTCACGGAGTTCGACGAAGTGTTTTTATTGTGATTATATGCATGTAAATAAAAATCTAAAAAATATATAAGGGCCATTTTTTAAGATATTTTAGATTTAAATTTGCACAAATTTAGATATTTTAACAAAGAATAACAATTTTATTATTATTTTGTTAAAATTCAAAAATATAGTTAGGATGTAACTTTATGTACTTATGGCATTAAATTTAAGTATATGCAATACCATTTTCAGAATATTTAACTAAATGTTAAGCCTATTAATAGTTTTGCATAAAGATTGTATAGTAAAATAGATTAATGTATAGACATAATTTAATATTTAATAATGGTTAACTTTTAACATACTTTACTTGCTAATATATTAATGATATTAATTTATGAGGAGTAATAATTGTGTAAATATATTTATTTACTGCAACTGATAGTACATCTCTAAAAATAGTTATAGAAATTTAGACTTATTGTTAATAGTTATACATTTAGTAAAATGATTACAGTTCATAATTAGCAGAATGAGGTTCTCGATATCTATACATCTGTTGATTTGTATGTTAGTATACTTACAATCGTATAGCAGAGGATTACAACAGCCCTGTAATACTTCAAAATCAGATTCTGGTTCTCAGTGGAATGAAGAGTTCGTCTGTAAAGGTATAAATCATAATTTTAGCTCTAGTTTTGACTTTTTTTACTATTCAAATTGGCTGCAATAGTTAAATTATTTATATAGACGGTTCAGATATAAACACAACAAACTGGTACCAAAATCTCAAAATCGAAGAAATAGAAGAAGAAATTAAATCTGTTGTCAAAAACTTTGAATATGAAGATAATTTTGTCGAGGATTTACTAATGGCTAATAATATTCATATTATATATGCGGCGAACCCAATTCGTGGACAACTGGTTGATTCTCGGTTTTTCAATGACAGATATCCAGCATATCGAAATGCTGAACTAATTGTTGAAGTTTCACGCCTTATTAACGATAAATATTGTCGAATGTATGAACATATAATACACATTCCAATGAAAAATAATATTTATATTTAATTTTAATATGCATACTATTAATCACCATTTCAGATACAATACTAGTGCTATACAATGTGCCAAAGAATTAACGAAAGTAAAACTAGAGAGGACATCTTTGGATAAGATATGTTTGTCCGAGTATTACAACAAAACTGCGTGCATCGGGAAAAACTTGATGTATCGTAGTGCTGATGGTTCTTGTAACAACTTAAAACGTTCCTCATTGGGAAAGTCAACCACGGCTTATAAGCGATTATTACCCCCAGTCTATTTAGATGGTAATATTTCTTAATTTTTTTCGTGACGCACAGCGCCCGTTACATTTATTAATACAAGGTTCTTCTAGTACGTGGTGTCTACTATAAACATGGCATTTTACAATTTACATTCACTTAGGTCTAATGCTGTGATTTACTTATTGTTCATACAGGTGTTAACACGGTTAGAACTAAAGGTCTACCCATTCCTAGAGATATAAGCATTGCGCCTTCCACAAATTTACGCTTTACCGACCCCTTAAAAACTATTGCGATGGCGTACTGGACGGTTTTTATAGGCCACGATCTATCGCACACAGCTATGTCCAACATGAGTAAGATTAAATACATTACTGTGCATATATTGATTGATTGAAATTAATGAATGTGAATTTATAATTTAATCCAAAGGGAAATCAAAAAAAGTGGTGAACTGTTGTTTTGAAAGGAACGCTACGAAGTTACCTTCTTCGCTGAGTCACAAATTGTGCATGCCTATAGAGATAAGGAATACTGATCCATTTTATAGAAATTTCATAAAGTACAATTCAAATTATAAACACTGTATGAACTACGTGCGTTCAGTGCCAGCGATGCGTCCAGATTGTACATTTGGACCCAGGGAACAAGTAACAGCTATATAAAATACTAGATCGATAAGCTTATATATTTGTTCTATAATAATTAAAATTATGTAAATAATTACAATGTGTAAACCATTTTGGGGAAATGGCACTGCATTCCAAATCTATAAGATGTTATACAAAAAATAGCATCTCTATATTAAATAAATAGTTGCACGGGGGACGAGGTGACTGAGTGGTCTGACGCTTCCGCTGCGACGCAGCCGGTCGCGGTTCGATCATCGGCCACCGGGCGGCATTTTTCTACGGACAAGTCGTGGTGACCGGAGAACAAGTGCTGCCATCCCCCACCCCCGGGGCATGGCAGAAACCTACGGGTGCCCCATTCGAAATTCTGCCAAAACAAACACACACGTGTTCCCCCCTACCGTACCAAAAACCTACAAACCATCAATGCAAACCTACAATACCTACTAATAGCTAATGGCTACAGTTGCCGGGCTCAAGATCAATAAAAAAAAAAAATAGTTGCACATTTTGTCAATTTGGTTAATTCATGTACAGTTTTTACGTTTATAATTTTTACACCTTTTGTGTTGATGACCGATTTCGAATTTGTCAAAAACTATAGGAAATAAAAAATTTAACACGTTAATGTTTTACAGATGAACCAAGCTACTCATTATTTAGATGGGTCTATGATTTACGGTTCGTCGGAGCAACAGATGTGGTCGTTGAGGGCCAAGTCGAAAGGCCAACTCTTGACGCACTCAACCTGCAAAAATCAAAGCGATCCGAAGTATATGCCGCTGGATTATGATCCGGAGGCGTGTCAGTTTGGCTCGGGCACGTGCTACATGGCTGGTGACCCCCGGGCAAGCGGGCTTCCCCAACTGACGGTTTTACATACACTGTGGATGAGAGAACATAACCGCTTGGCCAAACAGCTGTCCCATATCAACCCACACTGGGGTGATGAACGCATTTTCCAGGAAGCCAGAAAAATTGTGACAGCATCCATACAGCACATCACGTACGCTGAGTGGCTGCCAGCGCTGCTCGGTGAAAACTACACTAGGCAAAACGGTCTGGAACTGTTGACAAAAGGGTATAGCGACGCGTACAACGATTCCATCGATCCGAGCGTCAGCAATAGTTTCGCGACTGCGATATTACCATTTAGCAATTCCATGATCAGTGATAAAATCAAGTTAGTTCAAAAAGATTAAAAATAGATTATCGTTATTCAAAAATGTTACTTTAGAAAATATAAGACCTATGTATGAAGGCAACAATAGTTGCCTTCTTTTCATAGATGAGATATAAATGGAAGTTTTTGGGGGACTTAGTCTCACCAATTTCAAAGTTAGTACTTAGTAGGTACTAAACATAAATATTTTTTAGAAAAGATTATGGTGAGATTTCAGTCTCCCTCCACATTTTTAGGCTCTTCGTGCCAATGCTTTTTTACCCGGTGAACCATTTATTGGCTTTTAATTTTTAAACCGTAACTTCTAAATTTTTTCAACATTTGAAGTAGAATTCTATTTTCAAAATATCAATATATACGAGTATATTATGATTAATGACTAAAAAATATTGAAAAAACGTATTATGTTTTAGCTGAATTACAAATGTAGGGGAGTATACATTGCCAATTAAGTAATCTTATCTACTATTTCTTTCAAATAAATAATCCTATTTCTTCAAAATTTGATATTTCATTTAAAAATTACTTGTACAGTAGAAATAGTTTATAATGACTAAGGAAAATAGGTCATAATAACCGATAAAATTTAACATAATATAGAACTTACCTATGTATTTTTTTGTGTACTTTACCTTAAAGTCATATAACTGGAAATGTCTTTATAAATTTAAAAACAATTTCTACTTTATGTAACAATATACTGCGAAGAAATATAATATGAAACATATCTTTTTCTGTCAGTAAAAAGAAAAAAAAACTTTACTTTTTTAGACAATTATACATGATTAGTGTTAAAAGTAAGCAAGTGTCAACCTAAAATGTTATTACTAGTAAGAAATAACATAATAATTTATTGAGATGTCAAATGTTATGCATTTCTGCATAATGAGAATCAAAAAATGTTATAGTGTATGTACGATATTAAATGTGTATGAATGTTTTTGTATAGCTTATTCTCAGAAAACCGATTAAAGAATGGGGATCTTGATTTGAATAATCATTACAACCAACCAATTGACGTAATGAGACGTTTCTTTGATCAACTTGTAAGAGGATTATCTACACAGAATACATTCGAAATCCATGTGGGAATAAGTCCACAGGTAGAATTTTTCTACATAAACTAATTAACCTTTCACGACATTGACTGTATTACATATTATATATTTAATTGTTTACATTTCTTGTACTCAAATTTTTTAGTTAACCAATTACTTATTCAAGCATCGTCCAAGAAAACAATATGATAATGAAGGATTCGATGTATTTAGCTTAGATATACAACGAAGCCGCGATCACGGTCTTCCAACCTATACGCAATTTAGAAAATATTGTGGGCTCAAAGCCATAGAAAATGAGGAAGATTGGTCAGGGATTATTAAGCCAATTAATGTAAGTTTAATAACATTTGAAATAATCAAATACTATACACATTACTTTCTTCCTGTGTGTTATATTTAGGCAACGGATAAATTGAAGTATTACAGAACTTGGAACGATATAGATCTATTCATAGGTGCATTGTTTGAGAAACATGAAGATGGCTCAATGGTTGGCCCAACAATGAGTTGTATCATAAAAGAACAGTTCATAAGAACTAGAATTGCAGATAGATATTTTTACGATTTACCAAAAGTATTCAACGAATGTAAGTATTACTGAATTACTTTTAATGAATGGACTTAATTTTAACTAATTCCTAAAAAATTTTAGATCAACTGGCAGAAATCAGAAAAGTGACGCTTGCCAGAGTATTTTGTGATAATAGTGATAATATCACAACCATGCAGAAACAAGTATTTTTTAAACCTTCAACTTATGATTTACAACTTTGTAATTCAAACTCAATTCCAAAAATTAATCTCAATCATTGGTTTGAGAATGTCGATACAACATGAAAATAACCACATGGAAAACATTGATATATTTATTAATTTATTATTATAAGTTTTAATATTTAAGAATCATTAAACATTCATTGACCATTATTAAAAAACTGGTTGGACCTTTTGATATTATAAATGTAGTACTTATTAATCAACACATTAATAGTCTATGAAACAATATTAATATTTTTTAATAATTATAAATTTCCTTTTTCAATAATTAATAAACATTAATTAACCATATTAGGCTTAACTTTGTTGCATGATATATGATGTAATGTTTTTTAATAAATACTTTTTAAATTAGTTTGATGTCTATATTGAATAATAAATATTTGTTATTATTTATAACATATTTTAAAAAAATGATATATTTACAATCAATTAGTATCTGCTATTTTAAAAGATACAGCTAATATATTTTCGGGAAATTTGGGAAATACTTTAGAAAATAGGTCAAGGAAAATATGAAGAATGGAATTTAAGAACAAGTTTTCATTTTCAAACACTACGTTATTCCAAATTTGTACAATATGAAATATAAAATATTTTCTATAAATTATCTTCAATACAAAATATCAGAAAACAAATAATGTTATTCGATAATAAGGTTACAATTAAATTCTTGATGATTAGATGATTTTTTTTTTAAACACAATCAGGCATACTATTTATTTAATCAATAAAGTCTCTACAAGTACAAAACATAATGTCTCAGTACATGATAATCAGTAAATAAAAAGTGTGTTCCGCTTAATGTGATCACTTAAGTGCAGGTCATTTTGATTCTATTAACCGATTGCCACTATAAAACATTTGCAACATTTTTTCATAATTCAATCTTTTAATACAATTACATATTTCTTTATAATAATATATTTAATATAACACGCATAATAAATAACACAAGCACACAATGGACAATGATACACAAATAACATAATGACATACAACAATATACAGTCACACCAATAAGTTCAAATAAAAAATGGGTTTTATAATTTTATCAGTTTGAAATACCATGAAAACCATAAGTTCGTTCATAAAAGTGATTCAATTATCAAGCACTTGGTGTTTCTAAGAAAAAGTCAATTTAACATAAGTAACACATAATTAAGTTTGGGATGTTCATTTTTCATTCTAATAAACAGTTGGTACTCAGTGTAAATAAATAGTAGTAATATTATATATGTACATATGTATGGAAACATAAATATATTATACATTTAAATAAGGATTCATAAACGTATAAGGAGTTATACTCAAAATGCAAGTACTATTCATAACACATACACTTATTTCATGACAACATTTTGCAGTAAAATAAAAAGAATGATTACATTTATGACGTAGAAATAACACGCTTTTTTCATATGCTTAATCAAGGGAGTAGTCTCATTGCACTTGATATTGAAAGAAAATAAACATATAGTAAAAATATAAATGTGTAAAAAATGGTGTAAGAAAATATTAAATGTTTAAGTCATAAAAAATAAAATAATAGCAGTGCTAATATAAACTGAATACTTGAATCATCACACCTCAAATTAAAAAAAGGAAAATAAAACTGGTATAATGATTGTACATTATTTTATCACATTACAATTATTATAAATCAAAAGAAATTTTATAACTTTTTCACAATTACATGTGAAACAAAATCATTGCAATAAATGGAACGTTTAGTGTTTGCAAGATGCATAAAAATTAAATACATGTACAATCCTAAAAATTATCGTTTCTTAATTCAGAAAATTAAAGTTTTAAATATTGATAATTCAATGATTCAAAGATTCAAGTACTATTCATAACACATACATTTATTTACTGACAAATTTATGTAGCTAAATAAAAATGAATAATTACTTTTATGATGTAGAAATATCGCAACATTTTCATATAAATAATATTGTGTGGAGTCTTAATGTATGTGACATCAGAAGAGAACTGGATCCTGAAAGAAAATAAACATTTAGTAAAAATATCAATGTGTAAAAAGTGGTGTAAAAAAATATTAAATGATTAAGCCATAAAAATCAAAATAACAGTAGTGCTATAATAACCTGAATACTTGAATCATAAAACCTCAAATTAAAAAGAGGAAAATAAAACTAGTAGAACGATTGTACACTACTTTATCACATTACAAATATTATAAATCAAAAAAAATGTTATAACTTTTTCACAATTACGTGTTAAACAAAATCATTTTAATAAATGGAAAGTTTAGTGTTTGCAAGATGCATAAAAATTAAATACATGTACAATCCTAAAAATTATCGTTTCTTATTTCAGAAAATTACAGTTTTAAATATTGATAATTCTATGATTCAAAGATTCAAGTACTATTCATAACACATACATTTATTTACTGACAAATTTATGTAGCTAAATAAAAATGAATAATTACTTTTATGATGTAGAAATATCGCAACATTTTCATATGAATAATATTGTGTGGAGTCTCAATGTATATGACATCAGAAGGAAACTGGATTCTGAAAGCAAATAAATGATTAGTATACGAATCAATGTATGAAAAGTGTTGTTATCCTTGTGTAATAAAATATATTCAAAAAACAAATAATAATTGAAAGGTTCAAATGACTTTCATATTTGTATCATGTTTAAAAATATTGCAACTTCTCTTTAAATTTGTTAAGAATGCGACTATAACTTCAATGATGAAAATTTAAACAAAAAAAATCAGATTTCACATGTATGTTTCTAGAATTGTTTGAACTTGACATTTTTGAAATGGAGAACATTATTTCCTTTTGCATTTATATATAACGCTAAGTAATCAAACTAACTTTATTTAAACAGCTACATTTAATTTGAGACAATCTTGAAAACATATTAAAGTCAAATCATCTTCAACAAGTGAAAACAATAAAAAAAATTACACCACCAAAACTTCAAATAAAAAAATGTTGAATTAACTAGTAAAATCATTGTACAGCATTATATCTCAGTATGTTATTTATTAAACAAAAGTATTATGATGACTTTATCATGATTATATGTCAATAAAATCAGGGTAATAGATGGAGGGTATTATATTTGAAAGATGTATAAAAACTAAATACAAGTTTAATTTTCCAAATAATCGATCCTTACTTTAAAAAAATATAATTTTAAAAATAGGTGATTCTATGATTTAACAATTCAAGTATGATTCATAACACATACAATTATTTACTGACAAATTTATGTAGTTAAAGAAAAATGAATGATTACTTTTATGACATAAAAATATCGCATTTTTTTCATATGCTTCATCTAGTGAGGAGTCTCATTGCATTTGATATCAGAAATTAAATTGATCCTGAAAGAAAATAAACATTTAGTAAAAATATCAATGTGTAAAAAGTGGAGTAAGAAAATATTAAATGAGTAAGTCATAAAAACCAAAAGAATAGCAGTGCTAATATAAACTGAA